GGGCGGGGTGTTAAGACATGTTTAAGGTCAAAAACCTCAATGAACTCAGCCAGAGAGTGAAATGAGGTTGAGGGGGAGGAATGGTTTTAATCATTGTGCTTTAAAACACACCCAAAGTAATTAGTGAAAACAGAGTAAACATTTACTGTACACCTCCATGTGCCAAAAGACCAGATGGTATGCTTGAGGATAAGAAAAAAACAACGCAAATGATTATGAGGGGTAAATAAAAAGGGGGTTATGTGAACGGAGGGAATGACTTACTTTCAAGTTCCTCGTTTTCAAAGTTTGTGTGGATGGTAGAGCTGGTTTTCCCCTGATCAACAACAGCTTCCTCATCATTGCCCTGAATAGAGAGAGATAAAGAAGGATGAATTTATGTCACACCAGAGTAAACAAACAATCCATGGCAACACGAGAGGGTGCCATTCCAGTTACTGCTGCCTGTGTCTGGCTATAATTGAGAATTGTGCAAGAGTTTATACCATAAGTGGGCTTAAGACTTTTGTTTAATTTTGACAATACGCTTCTTGGCACAAAACTGAAGGGAACAGGTCACAGAATAAACAACTAGAGTTCATTTTGTGTCAAATGAACCAAAACTCAGGAACAACACTATTACCTCAGCCAACATGAACATAGTAGATCAGAATTAAAATACAAACTGCACATCCACATAAATATAAACATAAATAGTGATTCTTGGTCAGGCATTATTGCTCATACTAACAGTTAGGTATCGGAACAAACCTCTAACCTAAAATATTCAACTTTGGCATGGACTGTAACTCATCATGTAACTGGACTGTAACTGTAGCTACAGACATAAATAGCCAAATTAAATAACAACCCATTACAACAATTATAAATATAAAGAATGATGAATATTTGGGATTTAGTAGTTATCATAGCAATAATAATAACAACAACAACATTCTATTTGTGCATTTCTTTTTAAGATGATTTATTGTAATGATTAGAGCCTGGCCGATATATCGTTTTGCCGATTTTATCGGCCGATATGAGCCTGTCGCAGACATATCGGTATTGGTGAATATGCCGCCGATATGAAATTTTTTTTACAGAACATAAAACGCAGATAAAATTCTTGTAAATGGTGTAATTACGTAGTTTGTCCAGCAGAGCACGCTCCATTGTTTGCTACTGGCGACCTGGATGAAACGCTTTAAAGCTTAAGTGTATGGAATACCATTGAAACTTTGAACGGCCATATCTCCATAACGGCGTTGCGGATCAGCACCAAATTCGGGGGCTCCCTTCATCGAGTGTACGTCTCGAGGCCTCCTTTCGAATGAGACCACCCCCGCGTCGATAGCCCCCGGGGTCCAGGAGTTACGGGCGGTTAAATTCGCAGTTGGGTGCCGACCGATCTGGCAATCCTGGGGGCCTACCGACGGGTGGAGGGTGGCGTTCGAGAGGGCTCCTCGAGCTGAAGGGATCCCCCGAATTTGGTGGAGATCCGCCGCCACGTTCGCAAGATAGTGACACCAGCCAACACTTTCACTTCCAGTAAGGAGGTCTCTTGTTCAGGCAGCAGCATTCAAGCGTTGTCTTATTTGACCGTAAGTGCCCTGCGAAGTGGACTTCACATGATATTCCGCCATGATTCCAGTTCCAAGGGAACATACATGTTACATTCAAAGGGCATTAAAGTGCGCGAGACGTGAATTTAAATTGTATTTATTTACAGAGGTATATTGTCACACTTTACACTTCTCTAGTAAGTTTTGTCTGTGTGCGAAGACAGTAGCGCAAATCCGTGAATGAATGTTCAGAAGTGAAATAAACTTCAAAGGAATGAAGTTGAATGGAATTGAATTGAAATAAAGTTGAATAAACTTCAACTTTACTGTTCAGTGCACTGATGTCAGACTCATTTTGGATAATAAAGTTTATTGTTAAATTGTTAAATGCCCTGCCTCCATTACATATCTTTGTCACATCATTATAAGTGTTTGATCACCACATTTGAGTGCCATGTAAGATATAGCTTCTGACCTTTAAATCAAAACATACTCATTATTTTATGACATCAATTACTGCTTTATTTAATCAGAAACACAGTCTAAATCAGGTGTGTCAAACTCAGTTCCTGGAGGGCTGCGCGCAGCCCTGCAGAGTTTAGTTCCAACCCTGCTCCAACACACATACCATGTAGTTTTCAAAGAAGACTAAATGA